CCCATAGTGGGCACGCTGCCCTATGCGCCTCACAGCCCCAACTCTAGCTCCTTTCACTCTATCTTCACCCGCTTCCCCCACCCCACTGGGAGAAGCAGCCCTGGCCCGAGCCTGGCCTCCCACGGCGCCCCTGTCTGGGCCATGCGGCGTCACACGCCCTCGGTCCTCCACGCTCTCCTTGTAGGAACCTGAGACCCGCCCGGAGAAGGGCCCTCTCATCTCCTTCAGCCAGGCTACAGCAGGGATCTTTCCTCCCAGTGTGACTCCAACTGGCGGCCTCCTCGCCGCGGACTCTGGATAAGCCAGGAGACCCAGGGCCCGATGCCTACTGCTGTCCAGAACTTCCACTGGCTTCCCGAGAGCACACGGTGCAGCCATACCCCGCCCCGTTCCTTCCCTCCAGCCTCCTCACACTGCGACTGGACGCCAGCATCCCAACCTTCCTGGAACTGCGTAGCCCTCCCGTTCCCACTCCTTCGTTCCGTCCACACCTCCCCGCTCCCTCCACCGAGCTTGCAACAGCCTCCACATATGACCTCCCCACTGCGGGGTCACAAGCTGCCTCCGCTGCATCACCTGCCATGGGGGGCAGCCAGCCTCCCTGAACCTCTCTGCCTCCGAATGTCCATGTCCCCCCACAAATCCCAGCTGCAAAGATCCCCTTCCCCCTGGCTTAGGCCTCCCCCGCTCCAATCTGCTCTCTCACTTCACCTCTGGGCACAGTCTGTAGGGGGGACGCTCTGTACAGAACCAAGCGGGTCCCTGTGTATTTAATGCAAATGGTGCTGCTTTCCTAGCCGGTTGCAGGTGCCTCATTGCACATTTCCCTGCACTGAAAAGCCCCTTCCTGCCCCGTCCCCAGCCACTCAGCCCCTCCTGCTATCCCCACTCACCTCCCTGCCTCACCCATGTCTCAGCCACACCACCAGGCACCTGGCTCCCAGCTCCACTTTCTGTGCCCACAAGGACGCAGGCCGTAGAGTCCATCCTGGCAAGGAGGCCTGGGGCGGCTCGCTTGGCTTGGGGCTGTGTCGCCATTTGCAGTAGGCCTGGCTCAAGGGGAATCTATTCCTAGAATGGGAATGGGGGGAAACACCACAAACCCAGGTCTGTTTTCAGCCAGGTCCCAAGACCGTGAAATCTGGCAGGATTTGGCAGCAGTGGAATTAGCCTCTGGCCTAAAGTATCCCCAGAGCTCTCCTACGCTCTGACAGCTTTTCCCCGGGCCAGGGAGGGAGCTGGCAGACCCTCGTAAAGAGCGAGGATTTTGATGCGCCAAGATACAATCCAAGCTCTTTCCTCCATTGTCCCGGTGCATCAGTGAGTTACACAAGTGGGCGGTTGGTACCAAATAGCCTCAAAACCCCCCAGGAAAGCTTCTCTCTGACCCAGTACTGGGTCCCCATGACCCCGAGCCCCTAGGATTAGCCAGAGAGCTGTAAATTGGACGATGGCTTGTAATTCTCTTTCCCAGCTCGCTGGTTCTCTCCAATGTGTGAGCTCTCTCTTCATTTTCCAGGTAGGATGCATGGCACCCCTCCCCCAGAGCATGGCACATTATCTCCCTGGCCTGTGCGGCTATCGCCTGCTGCAAACACCTGCACTAGCAAACATCTATGGCATGAGCTGGCAACATCTGTATGAAAGCCTCCCTGCTGGCAACATCTGCACCATGAGAAACATCTGCATTATGTCCTGCCTGTGGGAACAGACCTGTGCTACCTGGTGAGAACATCAGTGGTGCAAGCTCCCTGCTGGAAACCCCTTTGCTACCTGACTGGAGAGAGCCGAGAGAAGAGGCCGGGCCGGTGCCTCCTGGCTTAGCCAGCGGAGAAGCCCCCCTGGTATCTTTAAAGGCCCAAGTTTCTGGAATCCTGACCCGGCTCTTCGGAGAGCAGATTCTGCCAGCTGTCCGTGATCAGGTTCTCCTTGTTCCCCTGAATTGCTAGTGGCTCTCCAGACGCGATGGGGGGTTGGCTCCATGCACCTTCTGCCCAGTCCAGGCATCTGGAGTTTGCAAACAGCCCCTATTACATTCACAAGACACTGGGGCATGGAACTGGAGCCGGAAGCAGGAATAACAGGCTGTTCTCCCCAAACCATCTGCCAGCTGAGAATGGCGAGAGTACAGTATTGCCCCTGCCATACCCCCTCCCACCCCACAGGTGTGCTCCTTGCTCTGGGGCAGGGGTGGCAGAGAAGCCAGCTAGTGACTCCCCCATGCTGGGAGCCTCTCAGCTTGGCCAGATCCAGAGTAGTGTAAAGGGGCCAGAACAGGTGACATAATGGGGTCCTATTATTCTCACAGGCCTGATTTCTGCCCCTTGTTTGGTCATGTACACCAATGCCCCATTTACATGTGACTCTGGCGCGTGCCCTGTGAGTGAAGTGCCACCTTCTGATAGCAGGGGTCCTGTGGGGCCCTCCCCCAGCTCCAGCCCAGCCCGGACGTCTACATTGCAGTTTTATAGCCCAGCAGTCTGAGCCCCCATCAGCTGACCTGGGCCAGCAGCGGGTGTTTAACTGCAGTGTAGACACATGCTCCGTGTCAGCCCCTAGATCTTCTCCTCAGCCATTTCTCAGGGAGGTTTCCCAGCAAACCCCTTGAAAAACAAGCCAGTTTCACTTCACATGACTTTGTTTCAGTTTCAGCCTGTCAGTTTCCCCTTCCTGAGTTCTGGGTTCAAGCAAACGCAGGTCGCACAGCAAGGCTCAAAGCCAGGCACAGAACCCAGGAGTCCTGAGTCTCACCCCTTGCCACACAACTAGAATGCAAGTGGGTGAGAAGAGCCAGACCCATTTGCTCCACTGCATCCTGCCCATCGCCCTTGAAGGTTCCAGGAGTGCGCTGGCCCAGGGGGCTGAAGGGAGATGAGAAGAGTGGCCCGTGGAACAAGATGCAACCATGTCCAAGATGTCTAGTCCCAGCTCCGATCAGCCCCCAACGCCAGCCTCCAGCACCCACTTGTTACATTTTCTAACAAGCCACTTCATGCTTTCTCCTCTGCTGCCCCGTGCCTGGGAGGTCCTCACCATAAACCTCTGCAAAGCTCCCTCATTGTCCTCCTTCTAATCCCGTGATAACATGCCCCTTTGCCAGGAGGCCTGCACCCCACTGATGGCTCTGGTGTGCTGAGATATGCTGACCCAGCACTGTCTTGCTGTTTCCTTGGGCACCCCCATCGGCCTGTCTGTACCGTGTGCTGGCTTGTTTTATACTTCCATTGTAAGATCCTTGGGTAGGGTCGGTCTTTTGTTCAGTGTTCATACAGCGTCTAATGTGGCCAGGTCCTGGTCCCCCCATTATGTTAATACAGATAATAAATAACAACAACTAGCACCTTTGTTCTGCAGGGAATTCAGGAGACCTGGGGGCAGTAGGGGTGTCAGGGCTGGGCTTTTCCTGTCCCACGTCAGGGACTTTGGGGTGACTGTGCCCACCAATCCCTTTAGCAGGTGCATAAGAGAAGATGCCAAAAACAGGGTATTCAGACATGTGACCAGCGAAGAGAGAGAGAGAGCCCCTCAATGGGCCCTAGCCACAAGCCAACACGCACAAGCCCAGATGTCTGTGCAGCTGAACCAACTGGTGTTTTGAGGGCCAGGCAGAGTGACCTAGGGACTGAATCTCCACCCTGGATCCCACAGAAATCGGGCCTCGGTTTCTCAGAAGGAAACGTCACCTGCTTCCGGGCAGAAACAAACCACTGAGCGAGTGGGGTCAGGAGGGAATTTCCCCCAAGGGCAGGTTATTCCATAACTGTCCACTAGGGGCTTTCTTGGCCCTTCCTGTGAAGCAATTGGGCGAGACAGGATATGGGACTAGATGGCTGACTAGGACTAGAACAGCCCCCCGTTGATATTGATCCCAGTCCAGCAAAGCACTTAGGTACATGCGTAATTCATCATGCGAGTAGCCCCAGTGATGCTGAGGGGAGGAGTCACGTGCTGGAAGTCACACAACGTCTGTTCTTAGCCCTGCCATGCACCACCAAGGGTCACTGGCTCATGAGATCCATTGTTAGTCTAGTGCAGAGGTGGGCAAACTACAGCCCGCGGGCCACGTCTGGGGACGGGGAACAGGGGCGGTTGGATAGGCGTGGGAGTCCCAGGGGGCCTGTCAGGGGCGGGGGTGTGGATAGGGATCAGGGCAGTCAGGGGACAGGGAGCGGGGGGGTTGGATAGGGGGTGGGGTCCCGGGGGGCGGTTGGGAGCGGGGTGCCAGGAGGGGACGGTCAGGGGACAAGGAGCAGGGGGGGTTGGATGGGTTGGGGGTTCTGAAGGGGGCCGTCAGGGGGTGGGAAGTGGGAGGGGGCGTATAGCGGGCAGGGGGCAGGCTGTTTGGGAAGGCACAGCCTTCCCTACCTGGCCCTCCATTCAGTTTTGCAACCCTGATGTGACCCTTGGGCCAAAAAGTTTGCCCATCCCTGGTCTAGTGCAAGTGCCCCCAATGGAAAAACCCCCTCCAAGCTAATGCAGGAGGAGATCTTTCCTATACCCTGCAGCGGGGGCACAACCCTCTGTTAGTTACATTCTACGGGCTGGCTGAAAGCTTCGGTAGAGGGGTCTCGTTCTCCAATAAGTCTGATAGGAAGCAGCGGGATCTGACATTTCCCATAAGGAGCGGAGCTGGCTGGAATCAGAACCAGGCTATTTCCTGTGGAGACCGCAGCCTGCTGGGATGGATTCGGACAGGAGATTTTCCATTGATTTCACAGAGCCTTAGACCAGGCCCTGTGAGCCCGTCCCAGGGAGCATCCCCCCTCGCATACACACACAACCCAGCTGTGAAGTAGCAGCGGGGTCCTCAGTTGGAGATGCACAAATAAAGCTGGGGGGGGGGGTTGTCCCAAGTTTCGCCCCTGTCCATTACAGGCTGGGAACAATAGCCCGTGTGGAAACAGCAGCTGTGTTGTACCAGCGCATCCGGAGAGGCAGGAAGGAGCCAGGCAGGAGGAAATATTAAATAGAGCAATATAAACACTCGGCTAGGGGGGATAAGAGGCGGACGCGCCCCGCCCCACCATCACTGCCCGTGAAAGCGGGGCCAGAGAGCCGCACGGCGGCAGTCAGCCTGCAGCATGGACAAGAACGCCTATGCCATGGCCAAGTTCGGCCTGGAGTCCAGGGACAACCTGATCCCCAAGCGAGACTGTGGCTTCTACATGAAATACATCTTCCTCTTCACCTCGGTCATCCAGTTCCTCATCATCCTGGGGCTGGTTCTCTTCATGATCTACGGCAACGCCCATGCCGGCACCGACGTCCACCTGCGGCACCTGGAGGAGCAGGTCCAGGAGCTCTACAGCAAGAAGATGCTGCTCAACGCCAAGAACAAAAACCTCACCCAGCAACTCAACGCCACCAGCAAGGAGAAGCTCGGCTGCTCCCAGCTGATGACGGCAACCCAGAAAGAGCTGGAGAAATGCAACGGCAGCCTGCAGGCCTGCACCTCATACCAGGTAGGCCTGCCTTGGAGAACCATCCCCTGGGGGCATGTGCCCCCGTACCCGAGCTGTCTGTCCTTCCATCTATCCCTCCTAGTGTGTGTCTCTCTCTCACCACCCTAGCATGTGTATCTATCAAGCCATCCCTTAGGCTCTCTCTCTGTCCCCCCACAAAGAACAGAGAGAGCAAGGATCCCCTTGGTCGCAGCCAAGAAATAACAAATGCAATGCTGATTTCAGAGCCAAATTCACCCTCAGGGTAATTCGGTGGAATCCCACCATGCCCGGCCCATCCGTCCATCTCTCCTTTCTGCTCAGGGGCTGACCAGGGCAATAAGATCCACTGAGGCACGGAGGTTCTTTTGCAACCAGGAAAGTGACCGATTCAAATTTCATCTCCAAATATCCTCATCCCCTGACTCGGCCGCTACAAATGATTGTTTTATTAGCGTGGGGAACCTGGGACCATGCTACCGAGCATCCTCTCCATAGGGTTTAACTGTAATACTCATAGACATGATACCACTAAGCAGGGGAAATTCGGAATTTAAAGAGAGATCTCTTCTTGAGGGTGGTGTGCATTGTTAAACATCTGTCACGCTCCACCCCAGAGGTGGCAGCATTTCAATGGTGGTGGGTGAAGTTACTCCTCTGTCATTTCTCCGTTCTTACCATGCTCATTGAAGGAGTTTCTTAACACTTCTCTATTGCTCTATTGCTATTGAATAGGAAAATGGAATGATTTTTTTAAAAAAGCCAAGGTGCTTTTCATTCTGCAGCTTTCCAATAGAAACACTGATTCAAAAGTTTCCATGAAAATTCTTATATGTTCAGTTTCTTGGTCTTGGGCTCCCCCCCGAAAAAGGAGAATTCAAAGCCACTAAATCCTATTTCATGGTTGGTTTTCGGGTTTCTGCTGAAAATGTTTGTGTTCTAACAAAGGTTGATTTTGGAGCAAAGAAAATATAAAAAGATTTTCTTGGAAAAATGTCAGCTCCTTTGGGGTGTCCACAGGGCTAATCAGCTCCTGCAGCTGTTCTGATGCCCAGAGTGCGACCGCACCCTCCTGTGCCCTTAGGGTCTGCCCCGTGTTAAGTCCTTAAAGACACAGTTTTCTCCCCTTTGAGTGTCTAACAAAAACCAGACTGTTTTTCTTTAACTCCTCATAAAAATCAGCACCAAGATCGGCTCTCCTCAGAGACTCAAGCTCTCCTTCCTCTCCATCTTATGTTCTTATATGACCCTGCCTATCCAAGCACCTTACCACCCTCTGTAGAAATGCTTTTGTCCACAATCTCTACGTGGGGAACCTAAGGCACAGAGAGGCTAAGGGTCTGTCTCCGTTGCAATTAGACAAGGAATCAAGGAGCAAGGCCCTGGCACGGGTTTGCTCTGAACTGGGAAATGGAAAACTCACTTTGCCAGAAATTAGAACCTGCTGGAAAAATCTCAGGTTCTGGACTGAGGGCAGCGTTCAAGCCATTTGCAAATGCAGGTTCTGTTTGGTGCCAGCCACATGCTGGGTGCTGCAGAACTTTTCATGCTGTTCCCCAGTCGACTCGGCATGGGGGCGAGAATGCCTTTCCAACTGAGTTTTGATGATCTGATTAGAGCTGGATTCCAGCTCGTTACAAGTGTGTGGGGGGGGAAAAGGTTCGCTTAAACGGATCGGGGGGCTGGGAGGCACTTGCGAAACTCAACATCATCTTGCAAACCCCAATACGCCTAATGCAAAAGTCTCCCAGGTTTCCCTGGTCCCAGGCCCCCCCAGCGTCTCATTCCATCCCATGAGCTATTCTGAAGAGGACAAAGAATCCATGCCTCTTTCAGAAGCACAGACGGGGTCACAGCATCCACTGAGCAATTCTACCCTCCCCCTGAAACATACCTAACCCCAGTGAATCCCTGCTTCCCAGAGATGGGGCTGAGCCAGATCTGGATCCACCAAGTTCACTGGGGAGCTTGGATCCAGGATTTTGGCTCAGGTCTTCTTATAAAGACTTCGTATACTAACCATAATGTGTTCTGATTGGCTGAGCACCCCACAGCTCCCAGGGATGAGCGAGACCTAGAGCTCAGCACCTCTGAACATCAGAAATGAGTCAGAGGGATTCTTTAGTTACCGAGCACGGTCTGGTATGTTGCAACATTCCTGTTTCATCAATGAACATTTCTCTCCGTCCGTCCATCTGTCTCTCCCTGCTCCCTATTGATCAGACAAACAGACTCACCGGGACTCCCTACAAAGTTCCACTGTGGTTTAGAGCGACGCCCAGGAGCAGAATTACAGAGACAGGCTTGGGGCTGGGAGCTTTGCCAGCACCAGCACTTGAGGAAAGCGAATGCACCCAGTGACTCACCCACAGCCTTTGTCCCACTGCAGAACGCACAATTCACACCACACTGCCAGGCACACGGGGAGGAAATCAGCCAGGGAACTAGCAGGCCAGGGACTACTGGCTCATCTCTCCTGGTCACTTTGCACTGGATTCTTCCTCTGAGCTAACAACGCTTCGCCTTTCGCTGGCTCCTTCCACCTCTCAAATGTTCTGTTCAAATGTGTTCGGGGCAGCAGGAGCAGCTGGTCTGCGCAAAGCCACACTGCAGCAGCATGGTCAAGTGTCTGCCCTCAGGAATGGAAGTGCAGAGGGGTGCAAATCAGGACTGAGGGGCACTGGCAGAACCGTGTGTAAGGCGAGCTCAGGGCTGGGATAACAGGGGGGCTGCGAGTCAGGACTAAGGGGCACCAGCAGGGTGGGAACATTCACAAGGAAGCAGCTTCCATGGTGCTTGTCTCGACAATGCCCCCGCCCCCTTGTCTCCAGGAGTGCCCACGTTCCTCACCGTTCTGCAAAGGGAGAGCGGTCAATTCCCTCCCTCCATCTCGGCTGCCCTCCCAGGAATTTCCTGGGCAGGGCTCCCCTGGTGCCATGGTGGCCACGCGTCCCTTGTGGAAGGGAAGCTCTGACACTTTCCGCCCCCCCCCCCCCATTCTCTCCCCAGACCCAGTGCCAACAAATCTGGAACTACGCCGGGTACAACAAGATGATGGCGGACGAGTGCTACAGGAACATGAACATCCTAAACGTCACCTGCTACGGTGCGTGAGAGCTCCCAGCTCCTCTCCCTCCCCTGCCCAGCTCAGTATCAGTGGAGTCACGTCAGGGCCAGGCGGGGTCCCCGCAGGCTCTCCATGGCGTGGATGCAGCCAGCCCCCAACACCCCAGGCAGCAGGGAACTGCCTGACTGCTCACCGCACCCACCTGAGGTCAGAGATTCTGGCCTGCTTCCCCCTGACACCACTGGGCCTGGTCATCACCTAGGCATGCACATCCTCCCCGAGGGAGCGGGCCACCTGGGGCTCCAGGGTGGCCCGTGGTGAGCAGGAAGGTCACATGGCAGCATTGTGCAGCTCACTGTTGCAGAGCGTGGGGTGCAAACCCTACTTTGTCCGGGCTGTGGGAGCAGGGGCCCTCCCGGCCCCAGTTGGAGCCCCTGGGATTCCTCCCTCCAGCCCCCCAGTTTTAGCAGCAGATAGTTTTAGATTTTTAGGACCTGATCCCAACCTAGGGTTGTCAACTTTCTACTTGCACAAAACCGAACACCCTTGCCCCACCCCTCCTCCTAGGCCCCGCCCCTCCCCACTCCATCCCCCCACCCTCTTTCGCTCATTTTCACCAGGCTGGCTCAAGGGGTTGGGGTGTGGGAAGGGGGTGAGTGAGGGCTCCAGCTGGGGGTGCAGGCTCTGGGGATGACGGGGTTGGGGTGCAGGAGGGTGCTCTGGGCTGGGCCTGAGGGGTTCAGAGAGCAGGAGGGGGATCAGGGCTGTGGCAGCGAGTTGGGGTGCAGGGGGGGTGAGGGCTCTGGCTGGGGGTGCAGGCTCTGGGGTGGGGCCAAGGTGTTTTGGTTGCAGGAGGGGGTATGGGCTCTAGGCTGGGGATGGGGGTTCCAGGCTGGCGCCAGAAATGAGGGGTTTAAGGTGCAAGAGGGGGCTCTGGGATAGGGCCAAGGGGGTTGGGGTGCAGGAGGTGGATCAGGGCTGTGGCAGGGGGTTGGGGCACAGGAGGGGTTGAGGGTTGCAGGCTCCAGGCAGCGCTTACCTCAGACAGCTCCCAAAAGCAGCAGCACATCCCCTCTCCGGCTGCTACGTGGAAGCGTGGCCAGGTGGCTCTGCGCCCTGCCCCGTCCGCAGGCACCACCCCGCAGCTCCCACTGCCCATGGTTCCTATGCCTAGGAGCCAGAGGGGAGACATGCCACTGCTTCCTGGAGCCACGCAGAGCCACGGCAGACAGGGAGCCGGCTTAGCCCCAGCCAGTGGTGCTGACCAGAGCCACCGGGTTCCCTTTTCCACCGGGCGTTCGGTTCGAAAACTGGACACCAGGCCATTCTCTCCGAACCTCAGAATTCCAGTGGGGTCACCCCTGCCATGTGGGAGCAGGGTGCTGTATTGCACCCCCACGTGGCCCCCCCTGGAATTTTCCCCCACTCAGGACTGCTAACCCGGGGAGTTCAAACATCAGGAGTCGGACCCCGGGAGATCACCAGGGCTGTGGCGGTGCTGAAGCCCCTCGCTACTGCCCACACCCCAGAGCCTAATTAATTAATCCATCCTCTTCCCCTCCCCCACATCTGCCCCTTCCCCAGCCCGGCAATTAATTCTGCACACACACCCCCACCCCCATCACAGCTGCTCCTTACCCCCAATCTCACGCCAGGGTCCTGTAGCTCCGGGGGGAAGGGGGAGCAGACTGACTCATTGTTCAAGTGGGGGGGGGGTCAGAGTCACCTTGAGCTGCTGGGCTCTTCCTGTCCCCTCCCCTCCTGTGGGAATGGTGTTGGCTGCTCCGTCACCCTCCCTCCCCTATCCAAAAACTCCTCCGGGCTTCTGGGAGGGGGTTGCGCCGCCTGCCTCCTGCAGCAGCTGTGATTGGCTGCTCTTCCCCAGGAGTTTCCCCCCGCCCCCAGCAGGGCTGACTCCAGTGCAGGGATTGGGTCCAGGGAGGGCAAACCGAGGGGAGTGGGTGCTGGGGATGGGGGTGCTGGGGGATAAGGGTCCAGGGGGAGTGGGTGCTGGGGATGGGGATGCTGGGGGATAAGGGTCCAGGGGAGTGGGTGCTGGGGATGGGGATGCTGGGGGAGGAGGGTGCAGAGGATGGGGGTGCTGGGGAAGGAGGGTCTGGGGGGGGATTTGGTGCTGGGGGAGGAGGGTCCAGGGGGATTGGGTGCAGGGGATGGGGATGGGGGTCCAGGGGGAGTGGGTGCAGGGGATGGGGGTGCTGGGGGAGGAGGGTCCAGGGGTTGGGGGAGTAGAGGGCAGGCGAGCCGGATCCCAGGGGGAAGTAACCCCATCGGCCCAACTCCTGCTTTGTCCTCTCCCGGCACAGCCGAGAAGCTGAGCCTGCGGGAGACCCGGGACCGGCTGTTGCGGGAGGCCCAGCAGCAGCAGGAGAACTGCTCGCAGGTGACGGAGAAGCTGAAGCAGGCGGCCAGCATGGCCAGCGGAGAGCGGGAGCTCTGCCGGCAGCAGAGCATCGACCTGCGGGCCCAGTGCAGCGGGCTGAGTCAGGGGCACGACCTTTGCTGCAGCCTGCAGGAGAAGATGACGAGAGAGCTCCAGGCCGTCCGGCAGGACATCCAGGCCAAAGTGGGGACCTCCCAGCTCTACCAGCCCAGCAGCTGCTCCACTCTGACCCAGCTGGTGGCCTCGCAGCTCCAGAGGGTGGAGGACAAGGTGCAGCAGGAGGTGCAGACCCTGGCGCAGGAGAACGGGCGGCTGCAGGGCGAGAAGCTGCGCTGTGAGGCGACCCTGCAGGCGTGCGGGCAGCAGCGTGCCGGGGAGAGCCAGCAGCACCAGCGCCAGCTGCAGACCCTGCAGGCCGCCTGCGATGCCGAGGCCAAGCGGAGCTACCAGGAGAAGCAGACGCTGATGGAGGAGAAGGGGCGCCTGAGCCAGCAGCTGCAGGAGAAGAACAAGCTTCTTGCCCAGGCTGAGGCCACGAAGGCCCAGCTGGAGAGCTGCAGGAAGGCAAAGGTGAGGGGGGCCCCATGCTGCCTGCCTGTCCGCGCCCACCTCCGTCCCGAAGCGGGGGGCGGGGAGGTGCGCGCCTCCTTGTCGGCACATAGGAACTTGCCCACAAAGCCAGCCTGCCAGCTGGGCATGTCCATCCCGCCGGGTGTTTGTCTGTTCATTAGGGCTGCCAGGCGTCTGGTTTCTGACCGGAGTGCCCGGTCGAAAAGGGATCCTGGCAGCTCTGGTTGACGCCACTGACCGGACTGTTAACAGTCTGGTGGGCGGCACAGCGGGGGCCTGGGGCTAAGGCAGGCTCCCTGCCTGCCCTGGCTCTGTGCGGCTCCCAGGAAGCAGCTGCCAGGTCCCTGCTGCCCCTAGGCACATGGGCGGTCAAGGAGGCTCCGTGCGTTGCCCTTGCCCCTGGGGGCCGGCTCCGCAGCTCCCATTGGGCAGGAACCACAACCAATGGGAGCTATGGGGGCGGTGTCTGTGGGTGCGAGGTCAGCACATGCAGCCTCCCTGGCAGCCCATGCGCCTAGGAGCTGCAGGGACCTAGTGGCTGCTTCGCAGGAGCAATGGTAAGCACTGCTAGGACCCCGAACCCCTTCCCACACCCCAACCCCCTGCCCCTGCCTGGAGTCCCCTCCCGCCCCCAAACTGCCTTCCGGAGCCTGCACCACCTCCCCACAGCCCCCTACATTCCCTGCCCCAGCCTGGAGCCCCCTCCTTCACCCCAAACCCCTCATCCCCAGCCCCACCCCAGAGCCCACACCCCCTGCTGGAGCCCACACCCCAACCCCCTTCCCCAGCCCGGAGTCCCCTCCTGCACCCCAAACCCCTCAGCCCCAGACCCACTGCAGAGTCTGCACCCCCAGCCGGATTCCTCAACACCCCCCCACCCCCATGCTCCAGCCTGGAGCCCTCTCCCCACTCCCAAACCCCTCATCCCCAGCCCCACCCCAGAGCCCTCACCCCCCTCACATACCGTGCCCCAGCCCGGTGAAAGTGAGGGTGGGGGAGAGGGAGCGAGGGGAGATGCAGGGAGTGGGGGAGGGGCCTCGGAGAAAGGGCCGGGCCTCGGGAAGGGCCAGGGTAGGGGTGTTCGTTTTTTTGCCATTAGAAAGTTGGCAACCCTACTGGTCATCCATTGATGTCCTCGTAGGTTGTGGCGGGGGCATAAATAGTGTGTTTATCCTCTCCCCCCCCCAGCCTCCACCTCCCCACATGCACACCCGGGAGCAGATCCCCCAACCCGTACGACCCCCAACCCGTACGACCCCGTACGACTGCCTGCTGGCTCACGGGGCCCCCAGGGCTGGGGCAGCACATAGCAGGGGACAGAGGCCTTCCCCACAACCTCCTCCAGCCACATCCTTGCCAAGAGTCAGCCCGGGAGGGTCTCCCCAGTTCCTTCCGTGCACGTCACCGTCTGGTGCCAGCTGGGCAGAGTCAAGCGTTCCGGGCTGCCCATGTGCTGGCTCCGTGGCTTGCAGCTGAGCTCCAGGCCCTGCTAGCCAGCATGTCTCTCCTCTCGTTGACAGGGCAGTGTTTTCCCAGGGAACCCAGGCCTGAGAAATCCTGGCAACCCCGGGACCTTCGGCAACCCCGGGGCCTTTGGGAACCCTGGCACATATGGGAATCCCGGCACCTTTGGAAACCCAGGGACACTGGGGAATCCCGGGACTTTCGGAAACACTGGTGAGTGCCCGTGCGAGGAAGGGCAAAAGGCAGATGTCCAGATGCTTTCCCAGTCTGGCCTGTAGCTTTGGCAGGTGGGCGCCAGCCTCTGGGCACAACCCTCACCCACTTTCCTATCCCTGCTCTGAGAAACCCCAGCCCCACCGCCACCTTCGCCATCTATCGCGAACGAAACCCTGCAGTGTTGGTGAGGCTGGTGCCATGGAGCAAGTGGCATGGAGGTTTCCACCCACCCGGCTCTGCCGCTGCCCACGGCCCCTTGGGCTCCCTAGCACTGTTGTGCATTCCTGTCATTCCCGACTGGGACCCGTTATTACAGCAGCTCCAGACAGCTCTAAGGCCTGCGTGCAGCTGGGGGACGAGGGGGACCCCTTGCTGGGTCATCGGCATGCCGAGCCAGACCCCCCTTGTGTTCCTGCCACACCAGGAGCCCCATGTCCCAGACTCTTCCAGGAGTGGCGAGGCCAGCCCAGGATTGGGGGCTTCTGAGCGGGGGGGAGGCCCCTTCCCCTGCACATATGGGCAGTCGATTCCAGACAAGAGACCTCTGGTGCTTCTCACCCTGTTAGACCGAGCCAGCCTGGAGGAATTCAGAAAGCGAATCCTGGAGGAGGCCAAGCTGCCCAACCAGTTCCCCCCAAAGCCCGTGCCGCAGCCCAGGTAAGGAGCGAAGGGCAAGGCAGGTTGGGGTGTATCCCCTGCATGAGCACTCCGAGCAGCCTAGCATAGCAGCTGTCCCTCTAGCACCTCACCCCACCCCTCTACCCCGGTATCCCCCACCACCATATTAAAGGAGACCATTGGCCCCTTGCAGCCAGTATCCTGCCTCTAGCACTGGCTGCAGCTTCCCCTTCCCACTAGTGCGCCTGGTTGATTGCACAGGACAGTCCGTGTGTGTCTAGAACCCTTCCTGACCCTTCACACCCTGAAGCATGAGAGCTGGGGTCCGGCAGCATCTGGCCTCTCGCTGCTGCTCAGTTAAGAAGCCCCCTGACTAAACACCATCTCAGCGTAAAGCAGCTGGCATGTGGGTGAAGCCTAGAACTAACATCTCTTGCTGGACGTGCTCAAAGAGCATTTCCTGGGGGTCGGGGCGCAGAGCTCCTGTTTCACAGCTACACGCACTTGCCCCCTGGGGGCGACGTGGAGGGAGACGTCGTTAGTGTTTGCGAAGCTCTTTGAGCTCCACCGAGGCAAGGCGCTGCGGGCCAAGGAGGTATCGCAGGCGCAGTTATTGTGCAACAGTGCAGGGAGTTGCAGGGATGCCGTGGCGGGGGATCAGACCCCCACAGAGCATTTCCTGAGCGGCTTGGGGTGGGGGGGCCTTGTGCACGTTACTAATTATCAGTAGCTGGACAATACTGCGTCTGGCCAGTGACTCCAGCGGGCGCAGGATCGGGCCCTCTGTTTTCTGGAGACAAGGGCTAGCCTGGGGGCAGGAGAACCTGCCGGAGCCGAGCCGCAGCCTGCCCAGGCTCTTTGACAGGGGGGAGAGGGCAGGGGCCACGGGAAATCCTGGGGCAGCAGGATACCACAGCAGCCGGCGACTTCCTCGCGGGGCAGGAACCCGGGTGCAGCCACTCGGGCTGCATGTGCGCGAGGTTAGTGCTGACCCTCTCGCTGTTTTCTTTTCCACGCCAGCGGCTAAGCAGAGAGCGAGGCCACGGGGAGCAGGGACCGGGAGCTGAGCTGGAGCAAAGGAGAGGAAACCGCGACTTGATTGGCAAGACACTTAGGAGACTGAGCTGGTGCACGGCCCGAAATCTCTCTCTCACTCACACAGCCAGACAGACAGACATGCCTGGGCAGAGACGTACAGACAGGCGCCCGCACATACATGTGAATCCCCCCCCCCACGCACACAGCTGAAATACACACTCCCCCAGCTGAAATCTCGCGCACACCCACACACACACACCCCCAGCTGAAATCTCGTGCGGACAGACATTTGGACAGACTCTCAGATCGTCCCACTCCCGCTCACCCCAGATACACATGCTCTCTGGGCCTCCCCCTCCTGCCCCTTATTCCTCGTCCAGTTACCCCGGTTCACCAGCCCCCGGAAGCTGATATTGTCCTTTGGCAGCCCTCCCTCGGACTTGTAGCTCTTGGGAGCAGGGGGGTGGGGGTGTCTGGCCAGATCTGGCAGAACTGCACAGGCCAAGCCTGGAGGGGGTGGGGGAGGACCGTGGGTCCCTCTGTCTGACCCCGCTACTACCCCTGCTGAGATCCCCTCCATCTTCCCACCCCGGGCCTGACCCCCGCTCCAGCCTCACCCCCCGCCCTCCTCCAGCCACTCATGCATCCCTGCCCAGGCCTCAAGCCCCTGTTCTGCTCAGGCTCCGCGGCCCCAACACCCCTCCAGTACTGCAGCCCGTTCCCGGGCCCTTGCTGCTCACCCCATCCCAGGCAGCCGCGGGGCTCAGGGGCAGGGGGCCAGCCGAGCAGGATGTGCCATGAATGTGATTAGCTCATGGCGCTTTGCTGTAAATTCTTCCACCCCGCATGGAATACACGCCTGACGGCAGCCTGGCCTGGCTTTTGCGTGCTTTGTTCTCGCTCGCTGGCAAGCCGGTCACTGGGGGCTGGGCAGGGAGCTGGGCGTGTGACCTGGTGGGTCTGGTTCTGCTCTTGCTGACCCTGGCCCAAATCAGGGGTAATTCCCTTGAGCCACCGGAGTCCCCTGCCCTGAGCCAAGGCTGGGGACTCGGAAGGTCCTGGAAGGCCTCTGTGCAGAGCGGGGGCTGGGTGCTGACAGTCCTGGGGTTGCATGTGGGGGTGACATTAGCTAGGGGGCTGGGTTCCCAAAGGGGCTTTTGCCCCAGAGTTCTGACGAGCACAGGAGAATTGGGGGAGGGGACACACGTCCCCATGTGCCTCGTCTCTTCCGCCACCCCCCAGCCTGCCCCCTCCACCAAGGCCATCAGCTGCTGTCCTGAGACAACTGCCCCTGCCTTGGGCCCAGCCACGGCCAGCGTCCCCTCAGCCATTGCACCAGTTCCCATGCTGCCTCCCCCGGGCAAGTGGTGCAGAGGAGTCTGGGTGGCTGCGAGCGGGGCCCAGTTCTCAAGCCAACGGGGAACGTCCCGTTCTGGCCGCCCCGGAGGAAGGGACTGACAGGTGCCGCAGGAAGAGCCAGGCCAAGCTGGGACCCAAACAAAGGAACATTGAAGCACGTTCCCAGAACTGCTGGGATCAGGATCCAAGCCTGACCCAGTGGCCCCCGGCCAGGAATTCTGCACGCTTGGCCTCTGGCCTCGTTCCTGCTCCTGCACCGCTCCAGCCTTGGCCCGGCTGCCAGCTCCAACTGCGCCGTGGAGGGGCTGGTTCTGGAGCCTGGTCTCAGCCCCAGAGGAGCGGGGTGCGCGGGAGAGGGGCACAGATGCTTACCAGAGATAAGAAGCCCCAGGCAGGCAGCCACACACCTGTGCCACCCGCGCCTGCCTTTCCAGCTGCAGGGTGGCAGGAGTGGCAAACAGACAATGCTGGGATCATGGTTGGGGGAGCCAAACTATCTGCTCCCAGGCTGTAGGCCTGTCATAACTGCCTCCCAGGAAAAGGAATCCCCCTCTCCTGCTCCCCGGAGCCAGCTCTGGTGGCCCCACAGAGGGAGACGAATCCAGGGATGGGTGGATAATCCGTGGGAGTTTTGCTGGGTAAACCAATGGCATCTGGCCCCATTTAGGTCAGTTGCTCACTTACAGCAGGCTGCACCCACCTGGGGTCTCTGCTCCCAGTCCCACCTCTGTCTCCCCCTTGGGGATGTTCCCCTTTCAGTCCCCCAGCCGAGGGGTAGCTCCCCCCAGAAGCTGACACAAGAGCTCCCCCCCCAGGCTTGAAATCTAGCCCCAAAGCCTTGGTTTGTTGGACAAGGAAAGTGGCCTGAATAAATGGCCTCCCAGGACTTCCCCTGCAGGCCCCATTGGCTCTGTCGCCGCCAGGGAGGAAATGTGACATGGCTGCTGAGGCTGGATGCTAGAGGCCCTGGCCCTCAACTCAAAGCCACTTCCCCTCTAGACCTGAGGCCACCCATGCTGAGCTGGGTTTCAGAAGGCCTCCGCTGGGGCTCAGCCATGAAAGTTAGTTAAATCTCGGAGCTGCCCCACAAGGGAGTTATCAGGCCCACTTACAGAGGGGTAAACTGAGGCACAGAGCAGTGGAGTGGCAGAGCTGGAAGTAGAACCCAGGGGTCCTGACTCATGTGCCTCTCACTGCTAGGCTGCACTGTCCCTCCCAGAGCCAGGAACAGAACCCCGGCGTCCTGGCTCCCAGACACCCCCCCATGATTCACTATGTACAAACAGTGCCGCAAAAGTAGGAAACCGAGTGACTGACAAAGCGATTCCTGTTAAATACATTAATTGCGCCTTGCGGCTCAGTTCTGGGCCAGGCTGCGTTTCCTAAGGATGCCCCTGAGCCTTGGCAGGATGAGAGGGTTAGTTTACAAACCCGCAGGACACGCTAGAGCCAACAATCAGCCGTGTTGTTGCCGGGATATGATTTATGGCTGGACTTTATCTCCCCTTACTAGTGTGTAATCAGTCTCTCCTAACACAGTGTGCTAGATTGTAAACTCCTTTGGGAAGTCCCTGCATCCTCCTGGCCCTCTGCACAGCGCTGAGTGTGTGGTCAGGGTTTTAGATTACATCCTAAAGCCAGTCACAAGCCCTGTTCACAGGAATCACTTACTTTCCCCTGCCACCAAAATGCGGCCACCTCTGGGGGAGAAGGCAGCAGCTTAACAGTGCACAGCAATACTATGGGAGGACTAAGGGATCATTATGTATCCAGCTGACATTTAGAATTGGGTGGGGAGCAGGATGTAGGAAGGTCAAAGGAACCCCCAGAGCTGACGTTGGGTCAGGACAAGGGGGTTAATGAATAAATGGTTTCATGAGATCCTTCAGGACCTCAGTCTCACACAGCGCCCCCTACCTGCAGGGCAGGGCTGAAGGGAGAGTCGTCCCCCCCCTCGCACTGTGCAGGGACAGTGGGACCAGCACTGGCTGCCAGGGGAGAGCCCCCCACCCCACTTCCTGCCTTTTCTCTCCCACACAACGGCAAATTGGCCTGAACCCCAATTAGCAGATAAGGTCACAGCCCAGGGGGAGCAGCAACAGGGAACAGAACAGCCCCCCCACCCCTCCAGGAAGGGGTCATTCATCCAACAATGGATTGCTCTCTGGTTACACAAGGCCACAGGGTAGGCGCTTGCCACAGTGGTGGACCTGTCCCACGCCACTGGGACTGAAACAGCTTCCTCCTAGCCTACCGCACGTGGAACCCAGGACCCGCCCCATCCTTCCTCTCCCCGCAGCTGCTGACCGCACGCTCAGGAGGCAGCGCAGCCCAGGGGACAAGCACCCAAGGGTGACGGCTATCAACAGCCCTGCTACACCCTGGGAAACGCTGCGGCAGCCACATGCACCAGGGCTGGAAAGGCCCCCCGGAAGGCTAGATTGCCAAGTATTGCACCCTAAACCTTGAACTTCCTTGCACCCTAAACTCCCCTCTCCCCGCTCCTGCCAACTAATTGGCGCCCAGCAGGCTCAACCTGGGCCCAACTCACAGCTACACCAAGGCCCTGCTAGGCCCCTCTGGCCGCACAAGGGGGCCTTAAAGCAGGTGGAAACAGCCCCCCGCCACTCCCCCTGTGCACGGATCTCCCTGGCCCCCATGGAGCTGGCATAAGGACTCTGCACCCACCCTGTCCCCAGCCCCAGGGGACAGAGCGGGGCCAGGGGGGAGACACTGTGCTGCACCCTTCCCTGGAGTTATGGGGAGCAGAGTGTAAGTTAGAGCAGCCCCGAGGCTGCTGTGAGTGGCACCAGCCAGGGCCCTGCTCTAGAATAGGGGGTGCACAAAGGTGGCTTAAAGCCAGCCAGACACCCCCACAAATACACACGCTCCAGGAGAAAGTAACAGAGAATCAGGCCTCTGCAGTGGTTTCACCCTGGGCCCTGCTGCTGTGCAGGGGGAGCTCACCCTGCTGCTCCCAGGGCACAGGGCAGCAGCCCCAGGGCTGTCGCTCCAGCACCCGTCCCCAGTACTGCCCAGGACAGGCCTGTAGGGGACTTGGCTCCTGGGTTCTGGTCCCCCCGCCCCACTGGAAGAGCAGGGGGAGAGCTCGTTACTTAGAGGAGCATCAGGAAATCCTCTATAAATAACTGTCAAAACAAGGGCTTCCTCAGTAGGAGGCCAGGAACCCCAGCGGTAATGAGCCCCAGGGGGGAGCTTGGGGCCAGTGAGGCAGAGAAGCCAAAGGCCACACACTGGAAACAGAGCCAGGCTGCCAAGGGGGGGCCGGCACAGGGAGCAGGCTGCAGCAGAGAGTGGGGGGAAGGAGGGCTACTGCAACCAGTGCTCAGCTCTGAACCAGCACCAGGTGGGATCCAGCGAGTTGGGAGCAGGGGGTTAGGACCCCTGGTTTCCATTCCCAGCCTGGCAGTGGAGGGGACGGGCGTTCAGGGATACGCACCTGGAACACCCTCAGCCACCTGTAACATCCCAGAAATTGGATGCACCTCTGCCCTCTGCTGGCTGGACTCTGAACTGCTCAGCTGTGTGTCATAGGCCCCGTACAGCTAATAGGGGTTCTCCCTTAGCTCCAGGGGTCGCCACACAGAGGGCCCAGAGTTCAAGTCTTGCTGTAGCCGCCGTGATCCCCGACGGTTGCCCAGACCTGTCCCAAGGCCTCCAGCTGTGACAGTTCAGCCGCCCCACAGCAGCGCTGCGGGTGCATTCGCTGAAGACTACAGCTCTCACCTCCTGCCAGACAGGGCCCCGGCTTTCCCAGCGCTGACTGAGGGGAAGTTCAGGCCAGTTTTTCCCTTCCAGCTGCTTGAGGGCCTTGTTTACTCTCCTCCTCTGGAAGCAGAGCCAGCTCGCCCAGGTGACCCCTACTCTGGAGATGCCCCCCCCGGAAGACAGGCAGGGAGGAGCCACCACAGACAGGCTCCCTCACCCCCTTGGCACCCTCCACACTCAGGAGGTGCCCCCAAATATAATCCCCACAAGGGGAAGGGTGCTGCCCCCCACTCCTGGGCAGGTTAGAGCCTAGGGTTGCTGCTTTTGCCAGCCCTGCCTGTAGAGAAATGGCCTAACCTTGCTCTGTGGCACCCCCAGCTGGTTAGTCTAGGAACAGCACTGGCAGGCTCCTGGCTCAGCCTGGGCCCCGGCAGCAGGGAAGAAACGTGCATCCATGGCAGAAGCAGAACCTGCATGGCCCCAGAACCATCTCCTGGCGAACCCACTGCGCCAGGGCACCCAACGCCCAGCTGCTCCCTAGCTGCTGAGGTTTGTGACCAGAGCAGGCGGCTCGAGGGGCTGGATGCCTGGGTTCCATTCTTGGCTCTGCCCCAACTCATAGACAAGCCCAGGCAGCTCCAGCACCCCAAGGCGCTACCCACCCCTCACTCCATCAGCAGCGCTAGGCGAAAACCCTCCCAGCACACCCCTCCCCGCCCCCTTGTAGCAGCCAGGCCCTGTACAGCTCCGAACACACGGCTGGCTCTGAACGGAGAGACTCCCTCC